TCACTGACTGACTGACTCACTCTCACACAGACTCACACACACACACACACACTCACTCGCTCGCTCGCTCACTGACTGACTGACTGACTCTCTCACACAGACTCACACACACTCACTCACTCACTCACTCACTCACTCACTGACTCACTCACTGACTCACTCACACACACCAGCCATCCAGCTACACACACACACACACACACACACACACACACACACACACACACACACACACACTCACACACTCTGTTCTTGTGTTTTTTTTTCAGCTGCCAAGCCCAAATACACGTTCGACTTCTCTGAGGAAGAGGGTGATGAAGATGAGGAGAATGGCGACGATGACGTGGTTTCTTCTCCGATGAGGTCGTCTTTTAAAGAGGACTTCCCTTCCTCTGAGCCCAAGCCGAGCTTCAGCCTTGACGACGAAGACGACGACGACGACGAAGACTGCTTCTCTCCTCCCAAAAAGACCACGTAAGATTTAAAGCACAGTGTCATCTGCAAACAGTCAAATCCAGAACGTTTTTGATTAGCTGACAGCTCTTTGGAACATCTTTTATGCAAACCTTTACTCCGTGTCACCCCCCCTCTTATTTAGTGTCATCTGTGTACTATCTTTTATCTAATAAATGACAAAAAGGTCTATAAATATATAAAATAAATGCTAAATGTTGTCTGTTGTCCTCTGAAGGTCTGCACCAGAAGCTAAGAAGACAGAGACGAGCAGCATCTTCATGTCCAAGTCCAGCTTCTCTGAGAAGAGCAACGACAGCGGTGAGTAGTAGTGGTAGTAATAGTAGTGGTGGTGGTGGTGGTGGTAGTATTAGCAGCAGTAGTAGTAGTCATTTGTAGTAGTTGTAGTAGCAGTAGCAGTAGTAGTAGTGGTGGTGGTGGTGGTGGTGGTAGTAGTAGTAGTGGTGGTGGTGGTGGTGGTAGTAGTAGTAGTAGTGGTAGTGGTAGTAGTAGTAGTGGTGGTGGTGGTAGTAGTGGTAGTAGTAATAGCAGCAGTAGTAGTAGTCATTTGTAGTAGTAGTTGTAGTAGCAGTAATAGTGGTGTTGGTGGTGGTAGTAGTAGTAGTAGTGGTAGTGGTGGTGGTGGTGGTAGTAGTAATGGTGGTGGTAGTAGTAGTGGTGGTGGTAGTAGTAATGGTGGTGGTAGTAGTAGTGGTAGTAATAGTAGTGGTGGTGGTGGTGGTGGTAGTATTAGCAGCAGTAGTAGTAGTCATTTGTAGTAGTTGTAGTAGCAGTAGCAGTAGTAGTAGTGGTGGTGGTGGTGGTGTTGGTGGTAGTAGTAGTAGTGGTGGTGGTGGTGGTAGTAGTAATAGCAGCAGTAGTAGTAGTCATTTGTAGTAGTAGTTGTAGTAGCAGTAATAGTGGTGTTGGTGGTGGTAGTAGTAATAGCAGCAGTGGTAGTAGTCATTTGTAGTAGTAGTTGCAGTAGCAGTAGTAGTAGTAGTAATAGTGGTGGTGGTGTTGGTAGTAGTAGTGGTAGTGGTAGTGGTAGCAGTAGTAGTGGTGTTGGTAGTAGTAGTAGTAGTAGTAGTAGTGGTGGTGGTAGTAGTAGCAGTAGTGGTAGTGGTAGCAGTAGTAGTGGTGTTGGTAGTAGTAGTAGTAGTGGTAGTGGTAGCAGTAGTAGTGGTGTTGGTAGTAGTAGTAGTAGTAGTAGTAGTAGTGGTGGTGGTAGTAGTAGCAGTAGTGGTAGTGGTAGCAGTAGTAGTGGTGTTGGTAGTAGTAGTAGTAGTGGTAGTGGTAGCAGTAGTAGTGGTGTTGGTAGTAGTAGTAGTAGTAGTGGTGGTAGTAGTAGTAGTAGTAGTAGTAGTAGTAGCAGTAGTAGTAGTGGTAGTGGTAGCAGTAGTAGTGGTGGTGGTGGTAGTAGTAGTAGTGGTAGTAGTAGCAGTAGTAGTGGTGGTGGTGGTAGTAGTAGCAGTAGTAGTAGTAGTGGTAGTGGTAGTAATAGTGGTGGTGGTGGTGGTAGTAGTAGTAGTGGTAGTGTTAGTAGTAGCAGTAGTAGTAGTGGTAGTGGTAGCAGTAGTAGTGGTGGTGGTGGTAGTAGTAGTAGTGGTAGTAGTAGCAGTAGTAGTGGTGTTGGTAGTAGTAGTAGTAGTAGTGGTGGTAGTAGTAGTAGTAGTAGTGTTAGTAGTAGCAGTAGTAGTAGTGGTAGTGGTAGCAGTAGTAGTGGTGGTGGTGGTAGTAGTAGTAGTGGTAGTAGTAGCAGTAGTAGTGGTGGTGGTGGTAGTAGTAGCAGTAGTAGTAGTAGTGGTAGTGGTAGTAATAGTGGTGGTGGTGGTAGTAGTGGTAGTAGTAGCAGTAGTAGTGGTAGTAGTAGTATAAACAAAGACGAACAAGCTTTGTTTGTTTTTTCAACTTGCTCTTCTTCTGTTTAGACCACTCCAATAAGTCGGACAGTGAGGACGACGTGATCCCAGTGTTATCCTCCTACTCCAGCAGCTCTGCGTTTGACAAAATATCACCAGCAAAAAAAGGTAACCACTCTCTCAGACCAACAGGGGGCTGGTCTCTTCTTACTTTACAACAGTCTTTGTGAATTTATGCATTTTAAAAGCACATTGCGTATTGTCATACTGATACTCTACAAACTGTGAAGTCCACTGAGACAAATGTAACATTTGTGATATTGGGCTATATAAATAAACATTGATTGATTGTGGGACTCCTCAAAGCTTTTTATTATATCGATGTACATTCTGTACATCGATATAATAAAGCCATAAGGTGGCTAATGTCGGGCTATAAAGGAACTACAGAACGGTCACATGACTTCACGTCACCACCGCTAAGCTAAAGGCTAATGTTGGGCTATAAAGGAACTACAGCACGGTCACATGACTTCACGTCACCACCGCTAAGCTAAAGGCGGCTAATGTTGGGCTATAAAGGAACTACAGCACGGTCACATGACTTCACGTCACCACCGCTAAGCTAAAGGCGGCTAATGTTGGGCTATAAAGGAACTACAGCACGGTCACATGTCTTCACGTCACCACCGCTAAGCTAAAGGTGGCTAATGTTGGGCTATAAAGGAACTACAGCACGGTCACATGACTTCACGTCACCACCGCTAAGCTAAAGGCGGCTAATGTTGGGCTATAAAGGAACTACAGCACGGTCACATGTCTTCACGTCACCACCGCTAAGCTAAAGGTGGCTAATGTCGGGCTATAAAGGAACTACAGAACGGTCACATGACTTCACGTCACCACCGCTAAGCTAAAGGCTAATGTTGGGCTATAAAGGAACTACAGCACGGTCACATGACTTCACGTCACCACCGCTAAGCTAAAGGCGGCTAATGTTGGGCTATAAAGGAACTACAGCACGGTCACATGACTTCACGTCACCACCGCTAAGCTAAAGGTGGCTAATGTTGGGCTATAAAGGAACTACAGCACGGTCACATGTCTTCACGTCACCACCGCTAAGCTAAAGGTGGCTAATGTTGGGCTATAAAGGAACTACAGCACGGTCACATGTCTTCACGTCACCACCGCTAAGCTAAAGGTGGCTAATGTTGGGCTATAAAGGAACTACAGCACGGTCACATGACTTCACGTCACCACCTCTAAGCTAAAGGCGGCTAATGTTGGGCGTGATGACATTTCGTCGTTATACACCAAAGCAAATGCCTTGTATGTCCAAACTTCCTGTCATTTCTTCCACATGATTTGTAGTGGTAATAACTCCTCCTGTTTATCTCTTTGATGTGCAGCAGCAGCAGCTAAGAAGCCGTCTGATTCCACTCCCAAACCGAAGAAGGCCCCGGCACCGAGAGCAAAGAAAGCTGATAAATCCATCTTCGACTCGGACTCTGACACCGGGTCCAAGAAACCAGCAGCAGCATCAGCCTCAGCTCCTAAAGGTACAGTACACTGTCTGTCTTATTCAAATAATGAATACAAACCATTTAAAAGTCCTTTAAGGTTAACGTTTTGGTCTGTGTTCATCCAGGTGGTGCAGGGAGAGGCAGGGGGAGGAAGAGGAAGGGCTCTGGGTCTGAAGACGAGTACAGTCCCATGAAGAAGGAGAGGACACCAGTCGGCAAAGTGAGTTTTCTCCTGTGTTTAAAACCGGCAGTGTTTGTGTTTTTGCATTTTTGCTTTCTATTTGGTTCTGTACTTACACAGCTCTTTATCTGGTCTTATCGACCCCTCAAAGCTCTTTACATACTTCGAGTCATTCACCCATTCATAGCTCATTCATGCAGAGCAGCATCACTTGCTCTAGGGAAGCTCACACACGCATACACTCACACACTCACTGTGCAGAAGCCTCAGACATGGTACTTTTTTATCAGATAGTATACTAGAGTAGTATTTCTACAACGTGTTTCCTTGTGTGTTGTGCAGAAGCCTCAGAAACCCCAGAAACCTCAGACATTGTTATTTAGTATTATAAATATACTAATGTAGTATATTTCTAACGTGTTTCCTTGTTGTTTAGAAGCCCCAGAAACCTCCGTCAGACGATGAAGACGATCACTTCGTGAGCGGCTCGTCTGCAAGCCGTCCGGGTCGAGCCAAGAAGGAAGTGAGTTACTTTGTGGATTCAGATAACCCAGAAGAAGAAGACGACGACGACATGTTCGATTAAACACACACTCCAAACACACTCCACCCCCCACCTTGTGTTCCCCCCCCCCCCACAGACTTTTGTACATTTCCTCCTTCGTTTTATTTCCATTAATGGTGACGTTCAATGATTTTTAACGTGTGGTTGTTTTACACTTTTTCTTATACATATACAGGTTTCTTTTTTTATTGCTCATTGAAATGTTCCGTACTTGTCCGAAGCGGCTTTTAGAAGTTTAGACGGCGGTGCTTTAGCACTCTTTAATTGTTAAAATACTGTGTAACTTTTTGAACATGAAGTAAACGATGAAATGTCCACGATGTGTCCGCCTGATTATTTCATGACTCAATCACAGAGAGGACGTTATCACTTGCTGTCATCACTTTCTTATTGTGATATATCAATCAGGAGAGACTTCATTTTTTGTTTAAAGAACATTTATTGATGCATGCTCCATATGATGGAAATGTTAATAGTCTTTGGCGATTAGACCCCGACCCCCCCGACCCCGTGCAGCCATGAGTTTAATAGAAATCCCTTAAGTTTTCACTTTAACTACAAACTGCTAAGGCTATTGTGCAAACAGTATACATACAATTATAAAACGGACAAGTCAAATCAAGCAATCTGATTGGTTCTTAGCCGTGATATAATGAGCGTATATCACGGGTAGAATTGTAGTTACTTTTCACGAGTCAGTATCCCTCCGCGTCTGAGAAAAGCTACAACCGTTACAGCTGTTACATTACGTCCGTTACGAAACTAACTAACTAACAAACAGATGTGTTTCTCTCCTCTGATTGGATGCCACATTATAGATTCACACACAAGTATTTTTTAAAATAAATATATTTTATTACTTTGCCAGGACAGTTCGTGGTAAAGTTTAACAGTATATGAACATAAAAAGCATTATGTTAATGTACAAACAGAGACAGTATTTAAAATGGACAGCTGAAACAGGTAAAACCACTTCAGCCAATGGGAGGGCAGCAGAGAGCAAGCAAGCCCCACCCCTTCTACGCTCATGCCCAATCGGACGTGAGCATCATGTCTCATAGTAACACGACTGTACAACACTGCGTGTGATCGGTGGAAAGAAGGCGACTGGACAACAACCGAGCGTTGTGATTGGTTCTGAGGTTCACGTGATGAAGGGACGATGTTTAATCCTGGGTTAGACCGACATGTGGGGCTGAGATTTAACCTATTATGGGATGCTTTTGTATTTTAATTATTTTTATACAAAATGAAATTGAAAATTGAGTCAAAAAATTGGAATTGGAATTTTTTTTTTACATTTGTTAATAAATTGTTGACATTAAAATTTGAATAAAACAGATAAATACATATAATTATGTAGAGAAGGAAACAAGCCACTAAATATATGTAATATGAATTTATAAAAAAGGCTAGCAACGGACAGTAGTTTGCTTAAAATAATAAAAATGTATGAGAATAACAGGGACTTTTATTTTAACTTTATCAACAAAACATGCACATTTTTACATATAACTTTCAACCCTACACTTCCTGTAGTATTTCAAATACATATATATTATTTTGGGGCATTCAAAAGTTCAAATAAATGTAAGAAATTCCCCCAAAACTCTTTAAAAAATGCCAAATGTAGATGCAACTTGGGATAATTGCATATTGCTGTATAATTGATTCATTTTTGTTAATAAATGGCAAAATATGGACGATGTAACCGCACGTTAAAAATGCAATGTTGACATTAAACATGTTAGCATACCGTTTATTACACATCTAGCACACCATTATCATTTATTTAGAGACGTGTTCAAATCCCATGGTAGATTGGTTGATTTCAAACCTTTAAAAAGATCCCTTTATCGTCTAAAAAGGATCAGTTTTCCGCCCCACATATCGGTGTAACCCTGGCTCGTTAGTGGACCTGTTCACCAAATCGCTGTCTATTGATTGGGTTTGATTGATTGACAGCTGATTGGCTCCCTGGTTGAGATGGAGGCTCTGTTGTTAGACAGGAACAAAAACATATCAGCGATGTCCATTTCCTCACATCTTCTCATTCATGTCCGTCCCAAATCAGCTCTCCAATATCCAGTACCTCCTCCTCTTCCATTCTTCTTATCTTTTGTACACTTGGACGTGAGTTCCCAAGTACGATTTGAAAGGTCTTTTTTCCACAGAGCTGCCAGTTGTAATGCAAAGCAAACATCACTTATATAACACCTCCGCAGTGAGCTAGATAGTAGAGTATTACAGTTACGTCGGTACAACATTCAACAGAAAACAAGAGTAAAATTCAGCATCGTGGAGTTTGTTTGCTACAGGAACAGAGGTCCCTGCTGCGTTCAGGGGTCGGAGGTGAACATTCGTTGGGCTGTTTTCCAGCTTCAAATAAAAATAAAAACACCAAAGATGGCTCCCTCCCTCTCTCACCAGGAGAACAGAGAGGGAGCCTTTCTAGTTTCCGTAACACTGCATTCTGACAGACATTATTCACATTCAAACGGTTAAATAAAGATCTGCTCTGGTTTCCCTTATGATATGTATTTCTGAGCAGGAATGGATTGCAGATGAGTTTTATTTATTCTTATTAATATGTGCTGCTGCGACCCAGAGCCCCTCACTGCCCTAAAGGGTGACTTACTCTCTGTTTTGGATCAAAATGCAAGAAGCTGAATGACTCACAGAGACGGCGTTACTGAGATGTTTGTGCCAGGTTTTCAATATGAATCTGTAGCTGAGAAGCTTAGTGATTTATCAGCTGCAGTGTCAACAAGCTCCACTTTGAAGTCCTGAAAATTCAACTAAAGTTTAAATATAACGGCGTCCAAAATCACCCTGACTCTCTACGACTTATTGAAAAAAGTCATTACATGTTTTACTGTAAATTAGGATATGTTAAATCATGAGTACCAGGTGGAATACCTAACAAATTAAAAGTGGTATTGTGAAATGTGACCTTTGTCTTGTGGGATTAATATTTTCTTATCCATACTAGTTGAAAAATAAATAACGAAAGTGATTTGACTGACCTCCAGAAAAAACGTCATATATATGTATAATAAATCATAATATAGTACGTCAAGAAATGTCAGAACATTCACAGTAAAGAGTGTTACAAAGTCAAAGAATAGTAAGTTGAAAAAGAAATGTAATATGTCTAAAAGTATTTAAAAATTGGTTTTTAAGTATGTCGAAAAAAATGAAAAATAGTCATAGTATAGCTTTTGGAAAAATATCCTATAACAGTCAAAGTATATTAAATTCAAAAATATTCTGGAAAAACAAATCATAATTTTACATATCCCAAAAAATACCTTAAAAATAAATAAAATAACGTGTGAAAAAATATCATGAAAAAGTCATAATTAAGTATGTCGAAAAAAAAGATCTGAATAATAATCGTTAACTGAACATCTTTCAATTCAGATGAACCTTTGAACCCTTGGCACAAACACCTCCACGTGTGTCACTGAGTCTTCTTCCTGCATCTCTCCGTCAGCAGTGAGGAAGCATTTCCAAAGCTGTCGGGTTTTAATATTCTCTGTAACTCTTGTGCTTCATGTCTTTAAATCTGAGCTTCAGGTATTTCCAGGTGTTTCAGCAGCAGAGAGGGGGGGGGGGGGGGTCCTGTGAGAGGAGGAGATATAACCTCTTCCTATTGGTCGGGAGAGGTGGGAAGTAACTAAGTAGATGTACTCAAGAACTGTACTTAAGTAGAGTTTTACTCCTCTACAGTTCAGAGGTACATGGTGTACTTCTACTCCACTACATGTATTTAATACCTTTAGTTACTTTACAGATGTGGATGAATGATGTGAAATATAATCAAGTGTTAAGTCAGACTTTAGTTCCACCTGGAGTAAATCCACAAGCTACCCTGCAGTATACAAAGTCATTCAAACTAGCTGCACCTTTACCAGCTTTGAGAACACTTTCATGATCAATCATTATAAAACATATCATATATATTATTCTGAAATGGACCAATCTGCACAATGACTACTTTTACTGTCGCTTCTTTCACTATATTTTGATGATGATACTTGTATACTTATACTTGAGGAACATTTTGAATGCAGGACTTTTACTGTAACAGAGTATTCCTACACTCTGGTACTTCTACTTTTACTCAAGTACAAGATCTGAGTACTTCTACTTTTACTCAAGTACAAGATCTGAGTACTTCTACTTTTACTACAAGATCTGAGTACTTCTACTTTTACTCAAGTACAAGATCTGAGTACTTCCACTTTTACTACAAGATCTGAGTACTTCTACTTTTACTACAAGACCTGAGTACTTCTACTTTTACTCAAGTACAAGACCTGAGTACTTCTACTTTTACTCAAGTACAAGACCTGAGTACTTCTACTTTTACTCGAGTACTTCTCCCACCTCTGTTCATATTGTGTTGCTATCTTCTATCTTAATCCGCCTCCCAGTGATATAGAGCTGTGTTTGTAGAGATGCGTCTCCATCGTGTAAATGTTTCTCCAACGGTCCGAGGATCGAGGCTGTGTGCTTCTACGTTTCTACGTTTCTACGTCAGTGTACAATCATCCCGGTTATCAGTATGTTTTGTAAGGATTGCGTTTCCCTCCGTCTGTTCAGCGGTTTCTAAAAGACACTTCTGAGAGGAGAGGGGAGGTTCTGCTCGTAAGGCGTCACAGAGAGTGTGTGTGGTGGAGCCCAGGTTGAAATGCTGTTAGTGAAGGATACACACTCATCAGGTCATCAGTCAATTAGGCGTCTTTGAGTTCATGAAAAGCGCTATATAAATATACACTATTATTATTATTATTATTATTATCAAGTCATAGCGGGCTGCGATCACACGTACCAACACCGACGGAGCGCTGCGAGCTAACAGAGACACACTTTCATGTGATTCAAAGGAACCAAAGGGCTGCAGTTGTGGCCATGATTTCTATCAGTTTCACTGCCATTGTGCTCAAAGTAAGTGGTGAGAGTTGGAAATGGTAACACTGCAAGCAAGAGACGTAAAGCCTCAAAAGGGCTGTCATTGTATTCAAATGTGGGTCATTTTGGACGTTTTTGCCATGATTTGTTTAGGTTTTTATTAGACTATACGTGCCAAAATCATTGCTGAGATCTCAAAATCAAAACATAGCATTTCTAGTTATATAGAACCTATTTGTGTGTGACAGAAAAGCAACACAAATGCTGCGTAAAAACTACATTTGAGTTCTTTTTCTGAACGTTTTGTTCGCTATTTATCCAGGTTTTAACATCAGTAATGTAAGTGCATGACGTTCGTTTGAACTGTGTTCCTCAGTATTCTCTAATTCCTCTGATTCCTTTCCCTGGTAACGACCGCTCCTCTTTGTAGAGGTTTTATAAGACTATAATCATCAAAATCATTTCTGAGATCTCAAAATCAAAACATAGCATTTCTAGTAATTAAGAAAACAAATTTGAGACGTAAAAGCCACAAAAATGCTGTAAAAAACTACAGTTTAGTTCATTTTTTTTTAAGGTTTTGGTCATGATTTATTCAGGTCAATCATGTAAGTGCATGACGTCCGTTTGAACTGTGTTCCTCAGTATTCTCGAATTGATTCCTTTCCCTGGTATCGCTCATCTTTCCACGGAACAAGTCATCACGCTGTAACTCAGATCAGGACTAACGCAGACCCTTCAGTGGAGACGAGCTAACCGGATTAGTTAGCGTAGCATCGGTTTGTTTAACCTCCTAACCGACCAGACGGTGATAATAAAGTGCGACACAGTTAGAGTTGGATCATGGTCGGGGTTAAAGGTTAAAGGTTAACAAAGATCACAGCCGTTCATTTCTCTGAACTCTGATGAGTGCGTATCGAAGGCTGTTGTTGAGCTCGAGAGGAGCTTTGCATTCTGGCGGATTCATGACGTGTTAGAAAAGACGAAAAAACGTTTTTTTAAATATAGCAACAAATATAAAATATTCCGTAATGTCTATATGCAATAACATTCTAGATAACTTCTCCAATAGCTGTCCGTCCCGCTCGCCTCGAAGATAATATTTAAGACAATGATTAAAAAGCACCACAAAATCCATCATAGAAACAGAGACTCCTAACCGTCCGATGGTATTTACAACGTGTGTGCCGACAATCTCCCATCATGCATTAGGGTTTACACAGGAGACCTGAGGAGAATCTTCTCTTACTTCTTCGTCCAAAACACCGAGTCCAAATGATTCACACGAGTCTTCTTTTTAAGGGGGGAAATAGAAGTAAAGATACCTAGCAGGGAGGGGGGAGAAGGAGGGGAAGCCTTGCTAGGATGCTCCTTTCTGGGCAAAGGAAAGTCAGAAAGAGCCTTTTCTTAGGACTTGTCTCCGGGCGGAAAAGCCTCTTCGGTGTCCGGAAACTCCGGCGATTCCGCGGTTTTTTCGTTGGGAGTTTCGTTTCTCCGAGGGGTTTCTTCCTCCTCCTCCTCTTCCTCTTTAGCCGGAGTTTCGCTCTTCTTCTTGCCGCCCTTGCTGCTGCTCTTCCCGCTGTTTTTCTTGCCCTTCTTCCCTCCTTTCTTCCCGCCCCCGGAGCTCTTTTCCCCGCCGCTCGACCCGTCCTGACCCTCCGAGTTCTCCAGCATCTCCTGGATGAGCGGCGGCATCGAACCGGGAATCTCCATCTTCAGAGAGATGACCCGCTCTGCGCCTGCAAGACAACGAGGAGGGAAGAAGAAGAGGGATTAAGATAAAGACGTTATTATTATTAATAATTTTAAGACATTACAATTTCACTTAAATTAAGCACATTCGCACATTTCTGACACGACAGAGATGAGAGAACCAAAAGCCTGGACACAAACAATGACGTCGACAAAGACATTACATGTTACTTGTTAGATGCTTTTATACAAAGCGACTTACATACTCAATACTGTGGACAATCCCCACAGGAGCAATTTGTGGTGAAGTGTCTCAGGGACACAACGACATGCTGACTGCAGTGGGGTTTGAACCTGTGCTCCCCTGATCCCAACACCAACGCACTAGTCCACTGCGCCACAGCCTCCCTGACATGAAGGCTGTAAATAGTTACCAGTGCTGCATTTCATGTGTTTAGTTATATGCAAAAAAACGTGCAATTACGTATCTGCCACTACGTTTTTTCGCACTACTAAAAACTGTTAATATTGACTTTAATGATGTGACCGTCTGTTTCTGTAGATATTTAATCGCTCTGTTCGTGTACAGTTTTATTATCATGCTGCTGTGTTTAGTGTATTTTTGTAACTCTGGCACAACGATTTCCTTATCTTGTCTTATCTTATTGTATAAAATAAGATAAGATGTTCTTTATTAATCCCAATTTGGGAAATTGTTTGGTTGCAGTAATAACAAATTAAAAGAGTAGAAATAAACAATTCTAAAATATAAACAAATTGATTGATAGATTAGATTAAATATACTTAAAATATACTTTTTGTCTTGAATGACATCGCGTCAAATCCACGTCTGGCTAAGCTAATTATTGATTTAATAGTTTAGTATTGTGTGCACCATAAAGATGGATGTTTATACATTTAGATTCAATACAAACGTGCTTGTCTCGGGGTTCCCTGCTCTCTGTGAACTGAACTGAAGAACCCTGCATGTCTCGAGGGTTCTGCTGCTGCTGCTTTTCACAGATTCATTTCATTGAAACGCCCCGTGATGATTCAGCTACCGTCCTGATATGAAATGTTCTGCCTGCAGACCCCTAACATAAATAAAAGTGTGTTTCCTGCGTACCTTTAGCGCTGATGCTCCGCAGGTCGGTGATCTTCATCAGGGTTTTGGGGAACATGTGAGGTTTGCTCGGCCTCCTCTTCCTCACGTAGATCTTCAGAGCTTCAAGAAGAGGCTCCTGCATCTCGTCCACTTTAGAGGGTTCCTCCAGGTCCTGGCGGTCTGACACACACACACACAC